CGTGACAGCCAGCCGCAGCAGTCACGTGAATGACCCCTTCACCACTAGGGGTCATGACCCCTGCACCACTAGGGGTCATGACCCCTGCACCACTAGGGGTCATGAGCCAACTGTCAAATCCCATCTTCCAAATGCATCAGAGTAAAGTTCACGTCTCAGAGGATGTACATCTGGTCTGCCGGCTCAAGAGCCCAGCTGGCAGCCACATGGTCAGGACATCCACATTTATATCCAGTCCTGTGCTGTCCCGTGTAGCGGCAACCCGTTCTCGCAAATTTAATAAGTCAATATTGACTTATTAACTACGTGCATAGGTGATATACTAAACATAATAGATACCCTTAAAAAGATTCATAGAAAACACCGACCTTACCTAACCTTGTTAGTATCTTAAGATAAGCATCTTATTGCTTCGTAATTACAATTATTAGGTAACCTATACCTATTATAGGTTAGGTAATAATTGTAATTACGAAGCAATAAGATGCTTATCTTAAGATACTAACAAGGTTAGGTAAGGTCGGCGTTTTCTATGAATCTTTTTAAGGGTATCTATTATGTTTAGTATATCACCTATGCACATAGTTAATAAGTCAATATTGACTTATTAAATTTGCGAGAACAAGTTGGTAGCGGAGACGCACTCTATGCCCTAATTCATCCATCACAGAAGAACGGATATCCTTTTTAAGGACCATCTTGATGGTGCGGTTGGCATCTAGTAGACCCTTCGCTCTCCCGTAGTCGTGCTTGTTCGGGTCCAAACCTTCCACTGTTTGGACGGTATTAATATCTAAGAATAATAGCGAGAAATGGATCAAGATAGACTTACAGCTTCTTGGAGCCATCTTGGTGTCCTCTTGGAGCCATCTTGGTGCCCTCTTGGAGCCATCTTGGTGCCCTCTTGGAGCCATCTTGGTGCCCTCTTGGAGCCATCTTGGTGCCCTCTTGGAGCCATCTTGGTGCCCTCTTGGAGCCATCTTGGTGCCCTCTTGGAGCCATCTTGGTGCCCTCTTGGAGCCATCTTGGTGCCCTCTTGGTGTAACACTGATCCAGTACACTAAGGATGAGAGCATCTGGTGTTATAAACTGTGCATCCTTCACTGCCACACACGAAAATGTCTGCCTCACATCAACCCCCTTGTGGGTTATCTTGCGATGATTTCGGGGCTCAACGTCCCCATGACCCGGTCCCCGACCAGTCCTCCTGACCTCACATACAGAGGCACAACCATTCTTCACCGGGGTCATCACAGCCGTGACTTCTCGAAGCACCTGAAAAGCCAACCAGACACCAGACACGTCGAGGACCGTAGCTCTCAATGTTCCATAATCCACCTTATGTGAGAGCCTCAAGCCAGCCGACACGGACCGTCATGGAGGAGGCGAGGACGACCCCATACTGATAGCAGCGTCGCCCCGACACACAAACACCTGACGGGGGAAAAAACAGCAACTCCACCAATCGTAAACACCAGATTTGCAAGGCACCGGAGGAGTCAGAGGCACGTCCGCGCCCTCCCGTGTCCAGCCACAGTCTCCAACATGAACTTACTCACACCCTTAACAGGTGTTGACGAGGCGGGGTGTGAGGGAGAGTCAGTATAAGGCAAGAGGGAAGTGTTGACGAGGCGGGGTGTGAGGGAGAGTCAGTATAAGGCAAGAGGGAAGTGTTGACGAGGCGGAGTGTGAGGGAGAGTCAGTATAAGGCAAGAGGGAAGTGTTGACGAGGCGGGGAGAGAGGGAGAGTCAGTATAAGGCAAGAGGGAAGTGTTGACAAGGCGGGGAGTGAGGGAGAGTCAGTATAAGGCAAGAGGGAAGTGTTGACGAGGTGGAGAGTGAGGGAGAGTCAGTATAAGGCAAGAGGGAAGTGTTGACGAGGCGGGGAGTGAGAGAGAGTCAGTATAAGGCAAGAGGGAAGTGTTGACAAGGCGGGGAGTGAGGGAGAGTCAGTATAAGGCAAGAGGGAAGTGTTGACGAGGCGGGGTGTGAGGGAGAGTCAGTATAAGGCAAGAGGGAAGTGTTGACGAGGCGGGGTGTGAGGGAGAGTCAGTATAAGGCAAGAGGGAAGTGTTGACGAGGCGGGGTGTGAGGGAGAGTCAGTATAAGGCAAGAGGGAAGTGTTGACGAGGCGGGGTGTGAGGGAGAGTCAGTATAAGGCAAGAGGGAAGTGTTGACGAGGCGGGGAGAGAGGGAGAGTCAGTATAAGGCAAGAGGGAAGTGTTGACGAGGCGGGGAGTGAGGGAGAGTCAGTATAAGGCAAGAGGGAAGTGTTGACGAGGCGGGGAGAGAGGGAGAGTCAGTATAAGGCAAGAGGGAAGTGTTGACGAGGCGGGGAGAGAGGGAGAGTCAGTATAAGGCAAGAGGGAAGTGTTGACGAGGCGGGGAGAGAGGGAGAGTCAGTATAAGGCAAGAGGGAAGTGTTGACGAGGCGGGGAGAGAGGGAGAGTCAGTATAAGGCAAGAGGGAAGTGTTGACGAGGCGGGGAGAGAGGGAGAGTCAGTATAAGGCAAGAGGGAAGTGTTGACAAGGCGGGGAGTGAGGGAGAGTCAGTATAAGGCAAGAGGGAAGTGTTGACGAGGCGGGGAGTGAGGGAGAGTCAGTATAAGGCAAGAGGGAAGTGTTGACAAGGCGGGGAGTGAGGGAGAGTCAGTATAAGGCAAGAGGGAAGTGTTGACGAGGCGGGGAGAGAGGGAGAGTCAGTATAAGGCAAGAGGGAAGTGTTGACAAGGCGGGGAGTGAGGGAGAGTCAGTATAAGGCAAGAGGGAAGTGTTGACGAGGCGGGGAGTGAGGGAGAGTCAGTATAAGGCAAGAGGGAAGTGTTGACGAGGCGGGGAGTGAGGGAGAGTCAGTATAAGGCAAGAGGGAAGTGTTGACAAGGCGGTGAGTGAGGGAGAGTCAGTATAAGGCAAGAGGGAAGTGTTGACGAGGTGGGGAGTGAGGGAGAGTCAGTATAAGGCAAGAGGGAAGTGTTGACGAGGCGGGGAGTGAGAGAGAGTCAGTATAAGGCAAGAGGGAAGTGTTGACAAGGCGGTGAGTGAGGGAGAGTCAGTATAAGGCAAGAGGGAAGTGTTGACGAGGCGGTGAGTGAGGGAGAGTCAGTATAAGGCAAGAGGGAAGTGTTGACGAGGTGGGGAGTGAGGGAGAGTCAGTATAAGGCAAGAGGGAAGTGTTGACGAGGCGGGGAGAGAGGGAGAGTCAGTATAAGGCAAGAGGGAAGTGTTGACGAGGCGGGGAGAGAGGGAGAGTCAGTATAAGGCAAGAGGGAAGTGTTGACGAGGCGGGGAGAGAGGGAGAGTCAGTATAAGGCAAGAGGGAAGTGTTGACGAGGCGGGGAGTGAGGGAGAGTCAGTATAAGGCAAGAGGGAAGTGTTGACAAGGCGGTGAGTGAGGGAGAGTCAGTATAAGGCAAGAGGGAAGTGTTGACGAGGTGGGGAGTGAGGGAGAGTCAGTATAAGGCAAGAGGGAAGTGTTGACGAGGCGGGGAGTGAGAGAGAGTCAGTATAAGGCAAGAGGGAAGTGTTGACAAGGCGGTGAGTGAGGGAGAGTCAGTATAAGGCAAGAGGGAAGTGTTGACGAGGTGGGGAGTGAGGGAGAGTCAGTATAAGGCAAGAGGGAAGTGTTGACGAGGCGGGGAGTGAGGGAGAGTCAGTATAAGGCAAGAGGGAAGTGTTGACGAGGCGGGGAGAGAGGGAGAGTCAGTATAAGGCAAGAGGGAAGTGTTGACGAGGCGGGGAGAGAGGGAGAGTCAGTATAAGGCAAGAGGGAAGTGTTGACGAGGCGGGGAGAGAGGGAGAGTCAGTATAAGGCAAGAGGGAAGTGTTGACGAGGCGGGGAGTGAGAGAGAGTCAGTATAAGGCAAGAGGGAAGTGTTGACGAGGCGGGGAGTGAGGGAGAGTCAGTATAAGGCAAGAGGGAAGTGTTGACAAGGCGGTGAGTGAGGGAGAGTCAGTATAAGGCAAGAGGGAAGAGTTGACAAGGCGGGGAGTGAGGGAGTCAGTATAAGGCAAGAGGGAAGAGTTGACAAGGCGGGGAGTGAGGGAGTCAGTATAAGGCAAGAGGGAAGAGTTGACAAGGCGGGGAGTGAGGGAGAGTCAGTATAAGGCAAGAGGGAAGAGTTGACAAGGCGGTGAGTGAGGGAGAGTCAGTATAAGGCAAGAGGGAAGTGTTGACGAGGCGGGGAGTGAGGGAGAGTCAGTATAAGGCAAGAGGGAAGTGTTGACGAGGCGGGGAGTGAGGGAGAGTCAGTATAAGGCAAGAGGGAAGTATTGACGAGGCGGGGAGTGAGGGAGAGTCAGTATAAGGCAAGAGGGAAGAGTTGACAAGGCGGTGAGTGAGGGAGAGTCAGTATAAGGCAAGAGGGAAGTGTTGACGAGGCGGGGAGTGAGGGAGAGTCAGTATAAGGCAAGAGGGAAGTGTTGACAAGGCGGGGAGTGAGGGAGAGTCAGTATAAGGCAAGAGGGAAGTGTTGACGAGGCGGGGAGTGAGGGAGAGTCAGTATAAGGCAAGAGGGAAGTGTTGACAAGGCGGGGAGTGAGGGAGAGTCAGTATAAGGCAAGAGGGAAGTGTTGACGAGGCGGGGAGTGAGGGAGAGTCAGTATAAGGCAAGAGGGAAGTGTTGACGAGGCGGGGAGTGAGGGAGAGTCAGTATAAGGCAAGAGGGAAGACGTGGGTAATGATGAGTGTCATATACATGGAGGTTGGGTCATTTGTTTCAGTTATTGTGACTTATTCTCTTCTTAAAGTCCAACTTTAGTCTGAACAACATAATGAATGTTGAACAATGAAAAATATTTGAATAAGCTTTTGTGCCATAGTAGAGTTGTTTATCTCACGTCATGTGTAATGTAAATAAATTGTAACAACATTTCAACATGTAAAAATCACTTGACTCTTATGTTATTTCATAGATCCATCACATTCATGTGATTTAATGTAAATGGATAACCTGCATATTTCCGCTCTTGTCATTTATATTAAATTTTAAGCACATTTTCAGTACGGGAACGCTCCTAAGGGTTCAAGTGTGGTGATGTACCGGAGCGGCGCGTTCCGCCACCACCAGTACTTCACCAAGATGGACTGGCCGGGAGGTATATATGGCACGCCCACCGTACCCGGATCCCGTCCTGGAGGTATGATCAAAACAAAGGTACTGTATACATAACTTAAGCAATATTGAGAGCCTACGATGGGATCGAACCCCCCGTCTGGACTGCCAATGGGGATGTGGGGAGGATTAGCAAGTTCCTGACAGCTTCATGTTGGGGAAATCTTCCCAATTGGGGGAGATGCTGACTAGTTAACATTAGGGTAATAGATTATCTCTTTCTTCGTCGAGTTTTTAATGTCATTTCACCTAATTTTGTTGATCGTGTGTGGCCTATTTTCTCTTATTCCACATTCCATAACATGGCATTTTTTCACATTAAATATAATAAAATCATCTATAAAATTGTCCAGAGGATTCAATGTATCTTATCTAATGAGACAAACAAATGCAACAGTTTAGATATAAATATAGTTTCAATTTTCTGTGAATTTCACCTATGATTTCAATTGATAAAATTCTTATTATACATGAATATTTTCTTTTGTATGAACAAGTCATGTAAAGAGGTGTTGTGCAGGGTCTGTGGCTGTGTGCTGGGGAGCCCTGCTGTACCACGGAGTGGCCGGCTACACAGAGACAACACGCACCATCATCAACACGGCCAGAGGCATCAAGAACCTGTGAGTCTAACTTGAGCCATTTCTCGTTATTGTTCTTGGATGTTAATACCATCTTGCTCCTGTACAGGGAGCTCCTCGGCTTGTGAACTCCGACACACCAACACCTGGAACACGTCAACTGGAAAAGGTGCAAAGACGTCCCTGGAAACACAAACCGAAACTGTCTCTATTTTCCGCTTGTAACAACTTGTAATAAAGTTGTTACATCTTGGCTTAACGTGTTTATGACGTATTGGAACGTTGTTACAACTTGCTATATTGGTTGTTATAACTGGTTAGGTGGAGTTAAAACTTGTTCGAACGTTGTACCAACGTCGTAGTTTCGGTGTGTGTTTGGAGGGATGCCACTAAGTAGCTCCCAGAACTGAAGGACAAGAGCTACAAGGAGAGGTTAAAAGCATTAAATATGCCAATACTAGAAGATGAAAAATGATCACTACGTACAAAATAGTAACAGGAATTGATAAAATTGATAGGGAAGATTTCCTGAGACCTGGAACTTCAAGAACAAGAGGTCATAGATATAAACTAGCTAAACACAGATGCCGAAGAAATATAAGAAAATTCACTTTCGCAAACAGAGTGGTAGACGGTTGGAACAAGTTAGGTGAGAAGGTGGTGGAGGCCAAGACCGTCAGTAGTTTCAAAGCGTTATATGACAAAGAGTGCTGGGAAGACGGGACACCACGAGCGTAGCTCTCATCCTGTAACTACACTTAGGTAATTACACTTAGGTAATTACCAGACAGTTGAGAGTCGGGACCAAAAGAGCCAAAGCTCAACCCCCGCAAGCACAACTAGGTGAGTAGTAGTAGGCATCCATCAGTCTCAGGAGACTATGGAGTTGTGCTCTGGTTGTCGGTCTGGAGTGGCCTCTCCAGGGCACAAAGCCAGGGTAGGTTAATACAGGGAGAAGCTGTTACCCATGCAGCAAGGCCCCCTCTCCACGGTACCGAAAGTCTCCAATGGAACCAACCGTAGACGAGTACCGGCTAATACAAAGCTCCTTCCAAGACTGTCTTTTGTATCAATCTACTGGACTGTGATATTTCCAATTTTCCTGCCCAAATCGTCCTACTTGAAGGTACCCTTGAACACACACACAGAGGCCCCGGTCTGGGTGCTAGATGTGGTTGTGTCTTATTTACATTACAGTGGTAATAGGAGGCGAGAGCAAACGCCGAGGTCCAACTACTTGGTCCTCCAATCACTAGGTCGTTACCTCCTCGATTGAGTAAGCACTCTAGAGGATAACAAATGAGTTCTCACACCAAATTTAGTATTTAGTGTTAGAGGCTGTGGGCTTGATCCTAGAGCTCAAACCTGTTAAATTCAAGACATCAGACGTAGCTGCAGCAGAACATAATAACGGGGCAGACCTCATCACAAGTGGTTGGGCACCATTCCTTTCCCACCGTCCCATCCCTAAATCCTTATCCTGACCCCTTCCCAGTGCTATATAGTCGTAATGGCTTAGCACTTTCTCCTGATAGTTCCATTTCCTTCATCAAAGGCTGCTGACTGAAAGATATTTTTGCAACAATAACAATATATTCATCAAAAGTTACTGACTAATACACATCAATAACAGCGTTACGTTACTATCAGAGTGTCACTCCACAGCTGGAGTGTCACTCCACAGCTGGAGTGTCACTCCACAGCTGGAGTGTCACTCCACAGCTAAACAATGCCAGCCGCGGCAGGACGCCGTCACACCACTCTGGCCATCACAAGACCTGGTCTCGAACCCTCGTGCATGGTCAAGAATGAACGAAGTGAACTAACAGAACATTAGTGAACACTCGGACTCAACTACACTCAGCTCCTGTAGTGGCAATCAACACTGATGCAATACAAACCTTTCACAATAACAAGAAACCAATGCAACACTTGTCACTAAGACAACCTTCAATCAATTAATTAATTACGTAAACACTCGTCCCTTGAACTGCAATCAACTCAAATATATAATCAATTAATTAGGTTAATCGTTCTGTCACACAGTAACACTCAGTGGGTAATTACCTTAACAATCTGTCACTCAGCCAGTAACAAATCAGATCAGTAATTATTGTGTTTAATATCGTGTCACCACGACAGTTAACTAACATGAATAATTATACTCAACACTGTATGTTAATACACAAGTACACACAACTTTGTCTGGATATGCTGTGATGTATGGAGCCCTGGCTGTCTGGGTTCGAATCCTTCTGGGATGAGGAGTTTTTGGTTTTGTATATATATATATATATATATATATATATATATATATATATATATATATATATATATATATATATATATATATATATATATATATATATATATATAAGCCTATACTTGCATAAACCACAAGTGAAGATTAACAATCTTTGGACAACACCCACCAGTGGGACTCGAACCCAGAAAGCACAACTACCTTCCAGTAGCTGGCATAACTAGTATGCTTTAACCCACTACGCCATCAGACCTTACAAAAGAAGTAGATAGTTCGAGATATATATCTCAAACATCTCCACCTCCCGAAGGCACCAGATGAGTGAGGGGTCAGTCTGCATTTTTCGTCAAGCCACTGTCAATGTGAGAGAACTCGTGTCCAGCTTATAAGCCTATACTTGCATAAACCACAAGTGAAGATTAACAATCTTTGGACAACACCCACCAGTGGGACTCGAACCCAGAAAGCACAACTACCTTCCAGTAGCTGGCATAACTAGTATGCTTTAACCCACTACGCCATCAGACCTTACAAAAGAAGTAGATAGTTCGAGATATATATCTCAAACATCTCCACCTCCCGAAGGCACCAGATGAGTGAGGGGTCAGTCTGCATTTTTCGTCAAGCCACTGTCAATGTGAGAGAACTCGTGTCCAGCTTATAAGCCTATACTTGCATAAACCACAAGTGAAGATTAACAATCTTTGGACAACACCCACCAGTGGGACTCGAACCCAGAAAGCACAACTACCTTCCAGTAGCTGGCATAACTAGTATGCTTTAACCCACTACGCCATCAGACCTTACAAAAGAAGTAGATAGTTCGAGATATATATCTCAAACATCTCCACCTCCCGAAGGCACCAGATGAGTGAGGGGTCAGTCTGCATTTTTCGTCAAGCCACTGTCAATGTGAGAGAACTCGTGTCCAGCTTATAAGCCTATACTTGCATAAACCACAAGTGAAGATTAACAATCTTTGGACAACACCCACCAGTGGGACTCGAACCCAGAAAGCACAACTACCTTCCAGTAGTTGGCATAACTAGTATGCTTTAACCCACTACGCCATCAGACCTTACAAAAGAAGTAGATAGTTCGAGATATATATCTCAAACATCTCCACCTCCCGAAGGCACCAGATGAGTGAGGGGTCAGTCTGCATTTTTCGTCAAGCCACTGTCAATGTGAGAGAACTCGTGTCCAGCTTATAAGCCATCTGCTTATATCTACTTATATCTACTCTGCTATCTACTTCTTTTGTAAGGTCTGATGGCGTAGTGGGTTAAAGCATACTAGTTATGCCAGCTACTGGAAGGTAGTTGTGCTTTCTGGGTTCGAGTCCCACTGGTGGGTGTTGTCCAAAGATATATATATATATATATATATATATATATATATATATATATATATATATATATATATATATATATATATATATATATATATTGTGATGATAATCTCTTTCAAGAGAGATTGAGCCTGCTCTTCCCTACATAATTCACGTCATATTACAAGTACAAGATACTATATTGAAGATACGTCCACCAGTATCGCCAAATGTTTTGCCCAGGAAGCAAAGCGTACCTTGCACCACCAGACACACCGGCTCCCGCCCGCCGTCAACGAGCAAACTACCCATTCTCCGCCTGCCTGCTCCTGATTGGCTGGTGTGTCGCCGCACCTGCACTCACGCCACTACCTGAGTCGACGTCTGGGCCAGCACACGCCGTACTCCTCAGAATATCTCTGTGCTCTTTGGAGTTGACATCTCTCTCTAGTAGACAAAGCTCTGGCTGTCGTGTACTAAGGGAGGTGGCAGCTTAAGCCAGTATTCTCAGCACCTGATTTATATTACCACTATTCTTGCACTTTATTTTATTTTAAGAGTAAATTTTACATGCATTAATTATTCATGTTGTTTTGTTTGTTGACTTGTTTTGAATTTTACGTAAGCCAAGGGATTGTCTTTGTTCATATCTTGTTTTCTAGCGTAATTAAAATTTCATTGTTTATACTTTGTGTTTTGTGTGTCTTCCCATTACCTTACCACAGACAAACGGGCAAGCGATCTTCTTTTTTTCTGTAAATGTGACGAGGCACTGCCCCCTGCTATTGAAAACTGCCGAACATCAACACTCCAAGACTTTACCGTCACATCTCCGATTTTGTTTATATATATATATATATATAATATATATATATATATATATATATATATATATATATATATATATATATATATATATATATATTATATATATATATATATTATTAAATATGACATATGTTGTTAAATATGAAAAAGTAAGATTAATAATTCTAACACGAATTTTCTCAATATTTCTTATGTTTCTTTTTACTGTCGATGGTAATTGAAAAATCAATTCTCCAAAATTCATTTTTATTTCTAGTCTGACACGACGCTTGAAAGCGTTTCGTAATAACTTATTACATTTTCAAAGACTTTAGTTTACATACACACAACTGTAACCAGAAAACACTAAACAGAGTTTTACTTATGCTAACACTTAAACAGCTTGTCTTATATACTAGCATTTGGGTGAGGTGATATGTTGCAACAGTTTTGGATGAGGTGAACAAACTTTTGACCAACACAAGACAACACGGAACATTGGGTGTTAATTGGATAAATGAGAGGGAAGGATGGAAGTAACTGCAGAGGGCCTATTGGCCCATACCTCCTCTTGATGCTTCTATATTGGTACGGAGTCTTGAAGTGGGTAGAATATAGTTGAATTAATGGTAGAATTAATTGGCTGTTGATTGCTGGTGTTGACTTTTTGATGTGTAGTGCCTCGCAGATGTCAAGCCACCTGCTATCGCTGTATCTATCGATGATTTCTGTGTTGTTTGTTAATACTCTTCAGGTGATGGTCTGGTTGTGGGAAGAGATAATATGTTGCTTGATGGAGCCCTGTTGCTTATGCATTGTTAATCGCCTGGAAAGAGATGTTGTTGTCTTGCCTATATACTGAGTTCTTTGGGGCTTACAGTCCCCAAGTGGGCATATGAAGGCATAGACGACGTTAGTCTCCTTTAAAGCGTTCTGCTTTGTGTCTGGAGAGTTTCTCATGAGTAGGTTGGCCGGTTTTTTTGGTTTTATAGTAAATCGTCAATTGTATCTTCTGATTTTTGTCTGTAGGGATAACGTTTCTATTAACAATATCTTTCAGGACCCTTTCCTCTGTTTTATGAGCTGTGGAGAAGAAGTTCTTGCAAAATAGTCTAATAGGGGGTACAGGTGTTGTGTTAGTTGTCTCTTCAGAGGTTGCATGGCATTTCACCTTCCTTCTTATAATGTCTTCAATGAAACCATTGGAGAAGCCGTTGTTGACTAGGACCTGCCTTACCCTACATAGTTCTTCATCGACTTGCTTCCATCCTGAGTTGTGGCCGAGAGCACAGTCGACGTAAGCGTTGGCAACACTCCTCTTGTACCTGTCTGTGCAGACCTCTTTTTACACAATGGACCAGGCCTGCTTCAAGTCCGGGTCTGTCTCTGCTTATTGGGTGCAATATAAGTTCTGGGGCTCATCCAGGCTGGGTGATAACCCTGTCTTGTCCGTGGAGGTTTGGCAGGAGTCCTGTCAGATCCATGCACTTCATTAGCTCGGGGAAGAGCTTCGTCTTTCAGGTGTGTCTGAGTGAGGTTTCCTTTCCTCCGCTCATGAGCTGACTGTTTGCCCCGGTGCTGTTCAAAGATGGCAGCTCCGTGTTCCAGCCAAACAGAAAACGGGACAGTAAATCACTTTTTCGAGCTGCTTCCATTTCCTAGTACGACACTTTTTGTCCTTATGTCACGCATACGAGCGAAATGCGACGTTCTTTGCAAGCGGACAGGTTATGAGTACAGCTGCCAGTACTCCCCAAGGCCCGTGTTGTGGAGGACCACAGTTCCTGTTCGCACCTGACGGCCGTCTTGCCCGTCTGAGTCCTGGTGAAGGAGTCCTTTGTGTGTCTCCGTGAGGGTGTGGCGTTGCTGGGATCCACTCAGAGGGCGGAGGCTGTGTGGTCTGAGGTTCGAGCCCCACTCTTTTGGAAGGTGGTGTAGGCATTTTATGCGGCCCGTCTCTCGCGTGTCGTCAGGCCTTGTTAATTCCTTCCGTGGAGATGTTCTTCGGATTCAGTTTGGTTTCTAACCCTTTTGGTCACTTCCTGCTTTACTTCCCTCCTCATTTCAGAGGAGGTTGTTACTCTGCTTGTCTGCAGTGTTTTTTTCCTGCCGCCTCATTGATCAGTTGTTCTCTCATGGTTCTGTCGTCTTTCGGATGTATTCTGGTCGGATGGGGACCCATAATAATGTAGGTGAGAAAGAGGAGAGGGACAAGTATACTGCCCTGTGGAACACCAGAGTTACTGGGTAGGATGGGAGAAATAGTGTCATTCACAAAGACATACTGGAGCCTGTCACTGAGGTAAGATTACAGGTATTGTAAGGAGTGACCAATCACTCCGTAGTGTTCTAGCTTAACAAGGTTATTGTGGTTAGCAGTGTCAAAAGCCTTACGTAGGTGAACAAATAACCCAACAGAGAACTCATTTTTGTCAAGAACTGCATGTATCATTTAATCATACTAATTAGTGCATCATTGGTGTTTTTTGGGGGTCTCAAGCCATATAGGGAAGGGATAAGTATATTACTCACAGAAATCACAATAGCCTGATGCATGAAATGAACTAATCAACAGAGGCCGTGATGAGGGTTCGAACCTACGTTCAAGAGGATCCCAGACGCACCTTAATGTATGTCATGGCTCAGTCAATTAAGGCGCGTCTGGGAGCCTCTTTGACGTATGTTCGAACCCTCATCACGGCCCTTGTGGATTTGTTCAGCTAAGTATACTGTTTTGCTGCATAGGAGTAAAGTCACTTGTAGATTAACTCTTGAAATATTTTAGACAAGTTTGGCAGAATTGATATTGATATTGTTGACTTTAGTGAGATACTACTTTTATGGACCTGGGGGTTACTCTTGCCCACTTTCTGTAGAATATCAGGAAAGGTTCAGAGTTCAAGGTATTTGTTGTAGAAGAATGCAATGGCCGGAGCTAAAAATCTACAATTTTTTTGTGAATTATGGTTCGTATTTCAGTAAGATTACTTAGTTATAAGTGAGAGGACTATATAATTACCTTCAGTGGAATTAGTGGGAGTTAGGTACAGAGAAGCAGGATGTCTCTGTACCACATTCCTTCTGTCCTTAATATTGGTACTGGATGCTGGGATATCTTTACAAGGGATGTGCCAATGGATGAGAAGAACCTATTGAATTTAATGGCAGCATCAGAGGGAGAGAGCACACCAACATCACTGGCAAGGAGTAGTGGTTTCTTATTCAAGATCTTTGATCCTAATATTTACAATACAATACAATTTTATTTAGGTAAGGTACATACATACAATAAATTTATACAAGGATTGGTTGACTTATAGGTAGAGCTAGTACATACAATGCCTAAAGCCACTATTACGCAAAGCGTTTCGGGCATAAGAAATAGGGAAATAGAAATAGAATTTAGGAAATAGGGATCCATATTTTCTTCATGTTTCCCTTTATTTGACTGAATATATTTTCATAATAGTTTATTTTGGCTCTACTAATTATTTTAGACAGCACTGATGAGTATCTCCTTCAAACTTCTCTGGAGACGACTCTTAACCTATTACAGGTATAGGTTAAGTAATAATTGTAATTACGAAGCAATAAAATGCTTATTTTAACATACTAAGAAGGTTAGGTAAGGTCGGTGTTTTCTATGAAGCTTTTCAAGGTAAACTAAAATATTCACAATAAATTAGTATGTCACATATGCACGTATTTAATAAGTCAATATTGACTATAAGAAAGTGCGAGAACGGGTTGACCTAATTCAGCCTGCCCCAGTTGATATTAGCAGCAGCAGCAGCAATAAAGTTGCTTATGCAAGCTTTATTGTGCAGCCTAAAGCTCATAATAAATTATCATTATTAATATTATTAGTAATCATAGCTAACAACAACGACGTTTGAGAAAGGGAGAATTTTAATTGGAATCTTTATTTATCTCCGAGACAGGCTGAAGGCTGTGCCTGGTCTTGAGGTGTTCGGGGACCCTCTGACCTCCATCGTGGCCTTCAGGAGCAAGGAGGATGACATCTACAAGATTGGTGACATCCTGGGCCAGCATGGGTGGCATCTTAACTTCATCCAGTATCCTCCCGGGTGAGTGTGAACACTGTCTACTCCCGGCATGAGTAGACGTGAGGATGGAGACTCATAGTCTTACTCATTATTGACTTGGTCTTCACTTACTCAGGAGGAAATGAAGTGATAATATTGATACTTATTGTTGGCGACTGAAGCTTTAACTTGGGTCTATTTAGGTCCTACTTGGTGTTGTGTTACTGTTCCAGTGGTCTGTTGTGGTTGTAACTGTGCACTGTGTTAGATAATGTTCCAGTGGTCTGTTGTGGCTGTAACTGTGCACTGTGTTAGATAATGTTCCAGTGGTCTGTTGTGGCTGTAACTGTGCACTGTGTTAGATAATGTTCCAGTGGTCTGTTGTGGCTGTAACTGTGCACTGTGTTAGATAATGTTCCAGTGGTCTGTTGTGGCTGTAACTGTGCACTGTGTTAGATAATGTTCCAGTGGTCTGTTGTGGCTGTAACTGTGTACTGTGTTAGATAATGTTCCAGTGGTCTGTTGTGGCTGTAACTGTGCACTGTGTTAGATAATGTTCCAGTGGTCTGTTGTGGCTGTAACTGTGTACTGTGTTAGATAATGTTCCAGTGGTCTGTTGTGGCTGTAACTGTGTACTGTGTTAGATAATGTTCCAGTGGTCTGTTGTGGCTGTAACTGTGCACTGTGTTAGGTAATGTCCCAGTGGTCTGTTGTGGTTGTAACTGTGCACTGTGTTAGATAATGTTCCAGTGGTCTGTCGGGCATTTCTCCACAGTACTGACATTTCCTCTCATCTTCCGGAACCTGTAAGCCAATTTCCCATGCACATGGGTATCCAAGCCTGATGCGATGTAAGTGTACTCCTGTTGTTCTACTGCTCCCTTTCATCAAACTAAGTTGTTCGTAGTTGGTTGAATGCTTGTACCAACCCGCATCATCCTGATGTTGCAACTGCTGTGTTGTGGTCATTTGTTCTAATTGTCTGTCTGTCTCCCTCACAGGATACACATCTGCGTGACGTCTCTACAAGCCGCTAGTGACTTCCCTCGACGTTTTGTGAGTGATGTCAACGATGCTGTTCAGGAAGTGCGGAAGAGACCGGATGGTTTAGCTGGAGTCGTAAGTGTAGTAGGGTTTTTAGTCATTTTTGTTTATTTTGCCCCAAGGGGCGAGTTTATTGGGGCAGCGCCACTCATCCTGTGAGTGGACACACCGCTATAGTGACAGTATTGGGCAGCGCCACTCATCCTGTGAGTGGACACACCGCCATAGTGACAGTATTGGGCAGCGCCACTCATCCTGTGAGTGGACACACCGCCATAGTGACAGTATTGGGCAGCGCCACTCATCCTGTGAGTGGACACACCGCCATAGTGACAGTATTGGGCAGCGCCACTCATCCTGTGAGTGGACACACCGCCATAGTGACAGTATTGGGCAGCGCCACTCATCCTGTGAGTGGACACACCGCCATAGTGACAGTATTGGGCAGCGCCACTCATCCTGTGAGTGGACACACCGCCATAGTGACAGTATTGGGCAGCGCCACTCATCCTGTGAGTGGACACACCGCCATAGTGACAGTATTGGGCAGCGCCACTCATCCTGTGAGTGGACACACCGCCATAGTGACAGTATTGGGCAGCGCCACTCATCCTGTGAGTGGACACACCGCCATAGTGACAGTATTGGGCAGCGCCACTCATCCTGTGAGTGGACACACCGCCATAGTGACAGTATTGGGCAGCGCCACTCATCCTGTGAGTGGACACACCGCCATAGTGACAGTATTGGGCAGCGTCACTCATCCTGTGAATGGACACACCGCCATAGTGACAGTATTGGGCAGCGCCACTCATCCTGTGAATGGACACACCGCCATAGTGACAGTATTGGGCAGCGTCACTCATCCTGTGAGTGGACACGCCGCCATAGTGACAGTATTGGGCAGCGCCACTCATCCTGTGAGTGGACACGCCGCCATAGTGACAGTATTGGGCAGCGCCACTCATCCTGTGAGTGGACACGCCGCCATAGTGACAGTATTGGGCAGCGCCACTCATCCTGTGAGTGGACACACCGCCATAGTGACAGTATTGGGCAGCGCCACTCATCCTGTGAGTGGACACACCGCCATAGTGACAGTATTGGGCAGCGCCACTCATCCTGTGAGTGGACACACCGCCATAGTGACAGTATTGGGCAGCGCCACTCATCCTGTGAGTGGACACACCGCCATAGTGACAGTATTGGGCAGCGCCACTCATCCTGTGAGTGGACACACCGCCATAGTGACAGTATTGGGCAGCGCCACTCATCCTGTGAGTGGACACACCGCCATAGTGACAGTATTGGGCAGCGCCACTCATCCTGTGAGTGGACACACCGCCATAGTGACAGTATTGGGCAGCGCCACTCATCCTGTGAGTGGACACACCGCCATAGTGACAGTATTGGGCAGCGCCACTCATCCTGTGAGTGGACACACCGCCATAGTGACAGTATTGGGCAGCGCCACTCATCCTGTGAGTGGACACACCGCCATAGTGACAGTATTGGGCAGCGCCACTCATCCTGTGAGTGGACACACCGCCATAGTGACAGTATTGGGCAGCGTCACTCATCCTGTGAGTGGACACGCCGCCATAGTGACAGTATTGGGCAGCGCCACTCATCCTGTGAGTGGACACGCCGCCATAGTGACAGTATTGGGCAGCGCCACTCATCCTGTGAATGGACACGCCGCCATAGTGACAGTATTGGGCAGCGCCACTCATCCTGTGAGTGGACACACCGCCATAGTGACAGTATTGGGCAGCGCCACTCATCCTGTGAGTGGACACACCGCCATAGTGACAGTATTGGGCAGCGCCACTCATCCTGTGAGTGGACACACCGCCATAGTGACAGTATTGGGCAGCGCCACTCATCCTGTGAGTGGACACACCGCCATAGTGACAGTATTGGGCAGCGCCACTCATCCTGTGAGTGGACACACCGCCATAGTGACAGTATTGGGCAGCGCCACTCATCCTGTGAGTGGACACACCGCCATAGTGACAGTATTGGGCAGCGCCACTCATCCTGTGAGTGGACACACCGCCATAGTGACAGTATTGGGCAGCGCCACTCATCCTGTGAGTGGACACACCGCCATAGTGACAGTATTGGGCAGCGCCACTCATCCTGTGAGTGGACACACCGCCATAGTGACAGTATTGGGCAGCGCCACTCATCCTGTGAGTGGACACACCGCCATAGTGACAGTATTGGGCAGCGCCACTCATCCTGTGAGTGGACACACCGCCATAGTGACAGTATTGGGCAGCGCCACTCATCCTGTGAATGGACACACCGCCATAGTGACAGTATTGGGCAGCGTCACTCATCCTGTGAATGGACACACCGCCATAGTGACAGTATTGGGCAGCGCCACTCATCCTGTGAATGGACACACCGCCATAGTGACAGTATTGGGCAGCGCCACTCATCCTGTGAGTGGACACGCCGCCATAGTGACAGTATTGGGCAGCGCCACTCATCCTGTGAGTGGACACGCCGCCATAGTGACAGTATTGGGCAGCGCCACTCATCCTGTGAGTGGACACACCGCCATAGTGACAGTATTGGGCAGCGCCACTCATCCTGTGAATGGACACGCCGCCATAGTGACAGTATTGGGCAGCGCCACTCATCCTGTGAGTGGACACGCCGCCATAGTGACAGTATTGGGCAGCGCCACTCATCCTGTGAATGGACACACCGCCATAGTGACAGTATTGGGCAGCGCCACTCATCCTGTGAGTGAACACACCGCCATAGTGACAGTATTGGGCAGCGCCACTCATCCTGTGAATGGACACACCGCCATAGTGACAGTATTGGGCAGCGCCACTCATCCTGTGAGTGGACACACCGCCGTAGTGACAGTATTGGGCAGCGTCACTCATCCTGTGAGTGGACACACCGCCATAGTTACAGTATTGGGCAGCGCCACTCATCCTGTGAGTGGACACACCGCCATAGTGACAGTATTGGGCAGCGTCACTCATCCTGTGAGTGGACACACCGCCATAGTGACAGTATTGGGCAGCGCCACTCATCCTGTGAGTGGACACACCGCCATAGTGACAGTATTGGGCAGCGCCACTCATCCTGTGAGTGGACACATCGCCATAGTGACAGTATTGGGCAGCGCCACTCATCCTGTGAGTGGACACACCGCCATAGTGACAGTATTGGGCAGCGCCACTCATCCTGTGAGTGGACACACCGCCATAGTGACAGTATTGGGCAGCGCCACTCATCCTGTGAGTGGACACACCGCCATAGTGACAGTATTGGGCAGCGCCACTCATCCTGTGAGTGGACACACCGCCATAGTGACAGTATTGGGCAGCGCCACTCATCCTGTGAGTGGACACACCGCCATAGTGACAGTATTGGGCAGCGCCACTCATCCTGTGAGTGAACACACCGCCATAGTGACAGTATTGGGCAGCGCCACTCATCCTGTGAGTGGACACACCGCCATAGTGACAGTATTGGGCAGCGCCACTCATCCTGTGAGTGAACACACCGCCATAGTGACAGTATTGGGCAGCGCCACTCATCCTGTGAGTGGACACGCCGCCATAGTGACAGTATTGGGCAGCGCCACTCATCCTGTGAGTGGACACGCCGCCATAGTGACAGTATTGGGCAGCGCCACTCATCCTGTGAATGGACACACCGCCATAGTGACAGTATTGGGCAGCGCCACTCATCCTGTGAGTGAACACACCGCCATAGTGACAGTATTGGGCAGCGCCACTCATCCTGTGAATGGACACACCGCCATAGTGACAGTATTGGGCAGCGCCACTCATCCTGTGACTGGACACACCGCCATAGTGACAGTATTGGGCAGCGTCACTCATCCTGTGAGTGGACACACCGCCATAGTGACAGTATTGGGCAGCGCCACTCATCCTGTGAGTGGACACACCGCCATAGTGACAGTATTGGGCAGCGTCACTCATCCTGTGAGTGGACACACCGCCATAGTGACAGTATTGGGCAGCGCCACTCATCCTGTGAGTGGACACACCGCCATAGTGACAGTATTGGGCAGCGCCACTCATCCTGTGAGTGGACACACCGCCATAGTGACAGTATTGGGCAGCGCCACTCATCCTGTGAGTGGACACACCGCCATAGTGACAGTATTGGGCAGCGCCACTCATCCTGTGAGTGAACACACCGCCATAGTGACAGTATTGGGCAGCGCCACTCATCCTGTGAGTGGACACACCGCCATAGTGACAGTATTGGGCAGCGCCACTCATCCTGTGAGTGAACACACCGCCATAGTGACAGTATTGGGCAGCGCCACTCATCCTGTGAGTGGACACACCGCCATAGTGACAGTATTGGGCAGCGCCACTCATCCTGTGAGTGGACACACCGCCATAGTGACAGTATTGGGCAGCGCCACTCATCCTGTGAGTGGACACACCGCCATAGTGACAGTATTGGGCAGCGCCACTCATCCTGTGAGTGGACACGCCGCCATAGTGACAGTATTGGGCAGCGCCACTCATCCTGTGAGTGGACACACCGCCATAGTGACAGTATTGGGCAGCGCCACTCATCCTGTGAGTGGACACACCGCCATAGTGACAGTATTGGGCAGCGCCACTCATCCTGTGAGTGGACACACCGCCATAGTGACAGTATTGGGCAGCGCCACTCATCCTGTGAGTGGACACACCGCCATAGTGACAGTATTGGGCAGCGCCACTCATCCTGTGAGTGGACACACCGCCATAGTGACAGTATTGAGCAGCGCCCCCAAACGAGCCAACCATCATTTTCACCTCTGTGGTGTTGACAACCAGTGAACAGAAATCCTACATGGGACCTTATTTTATTTTTATTAATTTGCTTCGTGATTGTGTATAGTTTCAACCACATTTTGGGTTCTCTTTATGCTATTTTCACTGGTTGTTAGTCATGCTTATGTTCCTAGTAGCTAGGAACTTCTACTAAGCTCCTAGTAGTAGCTAGGCTCCTACTTGCTAGGCTTCGCCCGAGATAACCACAATCTTAAACAGAAACTTCGACATGTCTGTGACGATCGCTGTTTTATAATGCATATAATGGCTGTATATAATGGTTTATAATGGCTGGATAACTAAAACCCAAGTCATGTCATGATACATATTGTCTTACATAAACAAAAAATGACATATGTTTTACAAATCTTTGGGTGACAGGGGAAGGTGTACGGTACCGCTGCTGGAATACCAGATAAATCCTTGGTCGGCGAGGCTGCCAAAATGCTTCTGACGTGTTACTACGAGACTGGACCAGCTGGCGGCCGTGGAATAGAGGAAATAGGTAATGAGGAAGATGGACAAGAAATATAAAATTAAAAGGAAATTCTCCTTTCTCTGTAAGTCTTAAATTAGGATTGCATGTTTTTGGTTGACGTGGTGAGTAAGAGTTCCTTACCGCAGATAATATGTGCGTTTTTTGGTCTAGCACAAATCAAATATATATATATTGTATTTATATGTATATTATATGGCTTGGTATTATTGCATGATGTGTAACTGTGGTGTAATTATTTGATCAATAAAGCCTCAAGTCCGGCAAAACATTTGTTTACCTCACATTGTTTGAGAGGAGTCTTGTAGAAACTGGTAAGAGTAGTTATAATAAAATGTTTCCACAATTCAGTGATTACCTCTTGTGAAAATCGCCTAGTTGTTGTTTAGTCAGAGTTGGTTTGTTTTTTGTATTAATTATTAAGGCAGGTATTTTCTCCCTTGATTCGATGTATGACTAACCATCCTGTGAGATACCCAACCAAGCCACTTAGAAACCACCTTTAATAAATGTATGATGATACAGAGTAAAAACCTCGGCGTTAAATGTTGGGAAACTTGCCTTTCTGGAGGAGCCTCATTGGTCCCCTGAAGGAAAGGGAACTATCCTGAACTATCCAGGGAAAGCTCCAAGCTATTACGACTATATAGCACTGGGAAGGGGTCAGGATAAGGATTAGGGATGGGACGGGGGGAAGAAATTGTGCCCAACCACTTGGACAGTCGGGGATTGAACGCGGACCAGCATGAAGCAAGACCATCGCTCTACCGTCCACCCCAAGCGGTTAGGCCGGTTCCCTGAAGCAATCTTCTTGAGAATACATAAAGGTCACATCAGTTGTGTTTGAGGACCAGATTCACGAAGCAGTTACGCAAGCACTTACGAACGTGTCCATCTTTCCTCAATCTTTGGCGGCTTTGGTTACATTTATTAAACAGTTTACAAGCATGTAAACTTGCCAATCAACTGTTGTTATTGTTATAAACAGCCTCCTGGTGCTTCGGTGCTCATTAACTGTTTAATGTTTGTAAACAAAGTCGCCAAAGATTGAGAAAAGATGTACAGGTTCGCAAGTGCTTGCGTAACTGCTTCGTAAATCTGGCTCGACACAGCCTCACGAATTAATCATGTATATATAATTATATCTTCTTCATAATTTCGTAACATCGCTCCGTTACGAATGCTCTTAAGTAGTCCGTAAGAGGACCCGTATTCACGATGCACCAAGATGATCGTACGCAGTTCTTAGCGATTTTAATGTAGTTCATTTAAGTCTCGATAGATGTCACGAGTGCTTTTCGTTTGGCCAATCAGAGAGGAGGAAACATTGTTTATTTTATTGTTTAGCCAATCACGGTGGCGGCTCAGCTGGAGGAGTGACCAATCACGTGTATTTGTCCAGAGACCGGCAATTATAGTAGCCACAATTATAGTAGCTACAATTATAGGGGGAGTTCCACCTGCGCTGCCGTTGAGTGAGGACGTGTCGCTTGTCCGCTCCGGCAGTTTGTGATCGTTGCCGTTTTCGCCGGCAGGGGGTGTGGGGGTGTTTACCCTCCCTGCTGTTCCTGGTGGTGGAGACGTGGCGTGTTTTGCGATGGGCGGCCCTATTCCCGCTGTCGTGCGGTTAAACTCCATCGGATTGGAGTTTACTGGCCGTGCTGGTTACCCGCTGGTGGACGTGGTGTTGAGTGACATGCTTCGTGTCCCGGTTGGGGACGTATATGGCATTGAGCTGGTAACTGCTCACCGTGTTGTTATCAAGTTTGTGGGTGAGGCGGTGTGCCGTGCTTTCTTACGGAGGTACGAGGGACGTACTTTGCAGCTACAGGACGGCACCGGGTCTGTGACCATTTCAGACCGTAGTGGTGCTGTGACGTATGTCAGTGTTCATGGCGCCCCCATGGAGTTTCCTGAGACTCTCCTCCGGCGATTCTTCCAGAGGTACGGCTCCGTCGTCAACTCCCTGTCGTCTGGCACGTATTCGGGTGTGAAGACCAACATTCGGACCCTCGGGATGCGACTGAGGTCGGACATACCGTGCTCTGTCCGGCTGTTAGGGTACTACGTGCGTGTGTTTTATGCCCGGCAACCCCGTAATTGCTTCCGGTGTGGCTTGTTGGGGCATCAGGCTGCCGGGTGTACTGCTGATCCGATCGCTCCTGTGAACTTGTTCCGTGAGGAGGATTTCCCGCCGCTCCCTCTGGAGGAGGACTTCGGGGGTGAGGAGGTGAGCGTCCCGTCTGCTGCTGCAGCTTCCCCGGCGGCGCCTGCCGTTCCTCCGGTTGTTGCCGTCCCTCCTCCGGTTCTTGAGGTACCGTCGGTTGGTCTGCCTGATCCTGTCACTGTTCCAGCTGCTCCCGTGGGCCTCCCTGGAGCTCCCTGTGTGACGTCGCTGTCTTCTCCCTCGTCTTCTGATGCTGCGCCTGACCCTGTGTCCGTGGCTCGGGTCCCGGATGTGCTGGGTGCTGGGGTGGCTGCGGAGCCTCCTGTGTGTGGCCCGGTTCCCCCTGTGGTAGAGGCTGCTGCCGTCCTGGCGTCGGTTCCTTCGGCTCGTGGTACCCGTGTTTCTGGGTCACTTACCGGCTCTGACGACATCCGGCCGGTGCCCAAACGTTCCCGGCGTTCGTCTTCTTCCTGGGCCGACGTTGGTGACTTCAGTGACTGTGGGGCTTCGGGTGTTGACAGTGTGGGTACGGATGCGTCGATGTCTCCGCGGTTCGTGGTGGGGGAGGTCCATGTGCCTGCCGGTGCTGGTGCCTGTGTCTCGGACGTGCCTTCGGTTCTTTCTCCGCCGGGGGACTCTCCACAGTGGGGGGTGGTGGCTTCCGCTGCCAGGGATGGTGTGGACTCTGGTGCTGGGCGTGGCCTGGTGGTGACGTTACGGAAGGATGCGCGCCGTCCGGGATGTTACTCCTGCCCCTGTCAGTGGCCCTGCTGCTCCCGTGGGCCTTCCTGCTGCTCCCTGTGAGGCATCGCCGTCTGCTCACCCGTCTTCAGCTGCTGCGCCTGGCCCTGCATCCTCACCTCGGGTCCCGGCTGTGCTGGGTGCTGGGGTGGCTGTGAGGCCTCCTGATGTGTGTGGTCCGGTTCCCCCTGTGGTCGAGGCTGCTGCCGTTCTGCGGCGGGCGTCCATTCGTCCGGCTAGTGGTGCCCGTGTTTCTGGGACCACTTCCGGCTCTGACGATCTCAGGCCAGTGCTCAAACGTTCCAGGCATTCGTCGTCTGCCTGGGCCGATGTTGGGGAATTTAGTGACAGGGTCTTCGGGTGTGGAAGGAGTGGTTCCGGATGCGTCGCTGGCTCCGCAGTTAGTGGTGGCGGAAGTCCATGTGTCTGCTGACGATGGTGTCCGTGTCTCGGATGTTCCTGCTGTTCCTTCTCCACCGGAGGCCTCTCCGCGGTGGGGCGTGGTGGCCTTCGCTGCCAGGGATGGTGGGGATGAAGGGGTTGGGCGTGGCCTGGTGGTGACCTTGCGGAAGGATGTGCGCAGTTCGGTTTCCCAGCAGTCGTCCGGTGGTGTGCCCGTGGACGCTGGTGCCCCTGTGGTGGTGCCTTCTGTCCGGCTCCCTCCCCTGAGGAAGTACGTTGGGGGCTTGGGGGACGTGTTACCGGACTCTGTGATGCCGTTGGGTCACTGGGCGCGGATTGCTGCGTTACCGGTCTGCGAGGAGGCGCTGGCCTTTCAGGATGGGGCAGCTCCATTGGTGTGGGAGCGTGTGCCGATCACTCAGGTCAGGAGTGATACCATTTGGGTGCCCTGTTTGCGGGTGTTTGTTGCCGATATCCCGGATGATATGGCGTCCCCGGTGGATGGTCAGGGCCCTGGGCAGTGGTTGCGCTGGGAGGCGTTCCATGTACGGTTCCCTCGGGACGTGTTTCCGGGCAAGTATGTCAGGTGATTTTCTACTATTGTGCTTACTCTTGTACTGTGTGCCCTTGTGGCTGTTTGCTTGCCATCTGGTAGTTTGTGCCCGTGCCTCTCCCTTGTTTGTGGCGAGGCGGGTGGTTTGGTGTGTGTGTTAGTCTTCATGTATTTGTTTTTGCCCGAAACGCTTTGCGTAAATGCCCGAAACGCTTTGCGTAATAGTGGCTTTAGGCATTGTATGTACTAGCTATACCTATAAGTCAAACAATCCTTGTAAATATTTATTGTATGTATGTACCTTACCTAAATAAAATTGTATTGTATTGTATTGTATTGTATTTTGTGTTGTTACCGCGCCCTATATATTTTCTTTTATGCTTACGTGTTGTGATTGTATTTTATTTTATTTTGTTTGTTATTGGCTTGTTGTGTGATATGCTTTCTTATTGTATTTCTTATTGTATTTCTTATTGTATTTCTTATTGTATTTCATTTTGTTCATACTGTTGTGCTTTGTTCTCGGTCCTTCAGGCCGGCGCTTCCGTCTGTTTTGTTTCATACTGCTAAATTGTTTTAAATGTTCTTGGTTTGCTTGCTTGTTTGTGCTTGTTTTCTGTTTTGTATCTTTTTGTGTTTTTATCCTGCATTTCCTGTAACCTTCTCCAGTTATGGTAATTGTTGTTCTGTCGGTCCTTCTGGCCGGCGGGTTCTTGTTTTGTTTGTTTCACTCTGTTGTTTCATTGTAATTTAACTCGCATGCTTGCATGTAAAAAAAAAAAAATAAATAAATAAAAATATAAAACTTATCATATTTCTCCATACAGATTCGTTTCCATTTAGCACGACCCATTGTCTTCTCTCCTTCAACAATTATTGCATCCATTCTAATGTTTTACCATTTATTCAATGGGCCTGTAATTTCCTTACCAGTCTATCATGTGGTACGTTATTAAAGGTTAGCAAAATCCATGAATACTGCATCTACCAGAATGCCTTTCTCTGAGTAGCTGGTTACCGTTTCCAAAACTGTGAGCAGGTTTGTAAGCCAGGATCCAAACGCATGTTGTGTCGAGTGTACAAGATTGTTCATTGAAAGATGGTATATGATTCCTTCCCTGAGGATTCTCTCCGTGAGCTTGCAGAAGTGTGATGTCAAGCTGATTGTGCAGTAGTTTTCTGCTGAGCTCTTTCTGCCCTTTGAAAATTGGGGAAACATTTGCGTATTTCCAATCCAGGGGAACTATCCCTTGGCAAACAGCCCCAGAACTGCTAGCAGGCATCCCCCCCATAGCCCCAGGAACCCGCAACAGAGGCCCCGGGGCAGGGTCGTCATCCACACCCTCTGCCCCTAAAGAAAAGGAAGAGTCCAGGGGAAAGGCAGCAAAGAAAGAGCTGCTGGTAAG